AGTTGTCATTGGGAAAAATTAGAAACGAGTGGATAATTTTGTTTTCAGGAACTGAGAATAACTAGTAAATGAGTCTTGGTTAATCTAAATTGAACATAATATTATTTACCAATAAACCGTATGACGGAATATTGTCATGTAATGTAGTTACATTCAAAGATCTGTTAAAATTTGACTCTTCAAAATGAAGCGAACAAATGAAAATGGTCTTTGATCCAACGTTTATATGCGGCAGTCCTATGATTTCCGACCATTCTTTCTTCCTTTTTTCATTTGTAGGAAAACTTGAAATAATAAAAATAATAATAATAAAACAATAAAAACCTCGTAGTGAATTGTTTTTATAACAGAATATCGATAATATGTATGCTTACAAGATCAACACTATCTCAAAATAATCGTTGACAACAATCATCAAAATATACAAACAGGCAATTTAAAGTAACAAAAGCAAAATTTGGCAAGATTTATAAAGAAACTACTTAAATAAGTCTAATTACATGAAATATTTGGGCTATTGCGTGATTTATAGACAAAAAATAACACATGCCTGTGCAATGTAACATTCGATTGATTTGCAGTTTTCTAAAGCCACATCCCTTAATGCTGCAGCGTCGCATTTTTATTAATACCTAATTATTCTCACTGTCAATATTTTTGTCCAATTTAATTATAATACATGCGAATAATTCAATAGTACATTTGGAAAAACATTTGTTTTGACATTTGATGTACTTTCCTTTGACAACGGTATCATGTACCTCATGTACTGCGAAATGGACACGGTTAGCATTTAAGATGACGTTACGTACACTTCTGGACGCATCTATTGGCCCACCTTGTAGTTTCAGTTTCGTTTGGTCCTAGCTAAAACTTTATATTAGGTCGAGCAAAAAGTTTTTATGCAGTTTTGCACCTGGCATATTCACAATTTCATTCAATAGTCTTTTTTTGAATTTCGAACACAGAATTTAAAGAAACAAAAGACATTTTGGAGCCTGTTTGTTGATATCATACAATCGAATACTAAGAAAACTTGGTTTTATTGGTTTACTTGGATTTAATTCTTGAAAAAGTGATTGATATCTTTGGTTTTGCAACAAACATTACTTATTCTTAACATTAAGGTGAGGTTCTATCAATAATCTATGGATACTTCACCTGAAGTCGCCGCCCAAGCTGTGGCACTTATTCAGGCCAGACACAGCCAAAGAAACGTGAGTGCTCAACTTAATTTAAGTCGATCTGCGGTCCGAAATGTTTATCGGAGGTACCTAGAGACTGGCGGCTTTGTTCGTCGCCAAGGAAGGCCACGATCTCGGGTCGCAACTGAAAGGCAGGATCGATTCATCGTGACGACCAGCTTGAGAAATCGTCACCTTACCTCCATTGAGATACAAAACCAACTTCGCGACTTCCACGGAGTATCTGTGAGCGCTCGAACTGTTCGGAGGTTAAAAGAACGCGATATGGTACCACACAAGCCAGCTAATGGGCCCAAACTAACGCGAGCCCACCGAACAGCGCGCCTTCATTTCGCACGCAGTCATTTAAATTGGACACAGCAAGATTGGAGCCGTGTACTCTTTTCTGATGAGTCTAAAATTGTGTTACATGGCAATGATGGAAGGAAGAATGTCTACCGACGTAAGGGAGAGCGTTTCGCACAATGCTGCTTTGAAGAGAGGGTTGCTTATGGTGGTGGCTCATGGACTGTCTGGGGCGGCATATCCGCGAGCGGCAAAACTCAACTTGAGGTTGTTACAGGACCACGGCTGCCAACATTAAATGCTGAAAGGTACATTCGTGAGTGCTTAGAACCTCACGTGATACCATACGCGGACTATGTGGGTCCAAATTTCCTTTTTATGCATGATAATGCAAGAGCCCATGCGGCCGGCATCGTCAGGGAATATCTTCGGGATGTGAACATCACAGTTATGGACTGGCCAGCCAGAAGCCCAGATATGAACCCCATTGAGCACATGTAGGACGAGCTAAAAAGACGTGTTAGGGCTCGTCAGCCAGTTGCCCAGACGATGCAGGAGTTGAAAACTGTGAAAACTGCCATAGAAGAGGAATGGGAGATGATCCCTCAAAATTTCATAGAGCGGTTGATAAACTCTATGCCTAATCGTATGAGAGCTGTGGTAGATGCCCATGGAGGCAGCACGCGTTATTAAATTAAACCTTTATTTGATAAAACATGTTTTTTATTCAAAAATCAATTGCCTTTAACAAGGCGCATATCCGATTTGTTAGGCGTTGCTCCATGTCGTATGGTATTCTGAATTCAAATTTAAAACAATACGATCGAAAAAGATGGTAAAATGTATCAGGTTTAAAACTGCATCAACAGTTTTTGTTCAATCTAGCAATCATATTTCGGTAGGGGCCATCGAAACCTAAACTCTAAGGTGGGCCAATAGATGTGTCCAGAAGTGTATTTTCGATTCCCGTGTTTGACACAGACCAATGTAATGCTATCTCTTTTGGCTTAAGACGGCACGGAATAGTTCAACAAAGACAATAACATGTTTATGTTTTCAACGTCGAAATGCATCATATATATATAACGTCTGATTTATATATGTTAACGTAACAAGTCCTTTAGTTTCCATAGTCTAAGATCTAATAAATATAGTTTAAATTGACATTTGCATTGTAAGAGAAAAAAGAACAAAAAAAAAATTATTATAACGAGCAAAAACAAAATGAAACTAATCAGATTTATTTCAACGTTTTTTTCTTCAATATTGAAGTTGGGAGATAGGTACGGCCGTGTAAAACATCCTCTGAGGCTTAAAACACCACCTAAATAGAAAAATGAAATAGAAGAGAAAATTAAAGGTCAAAACGTCTACAAAATAAAAGCACAAAAATTCATTTCTTTTTAATCTTATAGGTAGTTTTTTACTAATAGCAAAAAACGTGCACATTTTACAAAAAACTGGACCCGAAAATTAATGAGGTAAGAAGTCGTTGTTTAAATTTGCGCAGAATACGCAATAGAGCTGTAGCAATTTTTATTTCGCATATCTTCTAATACAATAATAGACTAGGCCGTCTTCAAATTATATGTTCATAGAAGCGCTGCGGCCGCATCACTTCTAATTTTTATACGATATTTAGAAGCGCAGTGGCAGCACTGCCACTGCGCCCGTCACCCTGAGTCATAAGTTGAAAAGTCCCATGAGCCTGTTATTTCACCAGCACCCTTACCCTTCAAAACCGGAACGCAGTAAAGCTAACATTACTTATTGGAGAAATATGTAAAGTGGACTGCAAGTACTTCCATGGACGAACTCTTTCACGAGGCACTCCACTACTCGTCGTATCCGACGTAAATTTAGTTTTTGGAGTTCGAGTGATGCCCAGGGATCGAGTTTAAATTCTCATAATCTCTAGAAAAAATCTGTTGCACTTTTTTTAAACAAATTAATATTTCGTTCAAGGACTACCTGGTCGAAATTCATTATCTCCGTTTTGAATGCATATTGGGAAATAAAAACATTGTTCAATGTTTAAATAAAAATAAAATAAAATTTATTTGACTGATTGATAGCAACAAATTTATGAATAACACAGTCCCCACACTAGGCAAGAGTCGTCGGGTCTCATACTACCGATAAACAGAATGGATTAAAACATTATTTTAAAACATATTATATATTGTTTTTACAAGGTGGCGGCATCGAGTGAAGTAACCTGTTAGTGTACTAGAACGAATAAAAGTTGAGAATTTGCAGAAGACAGATGTGAAAAATGAATATGTGAGTGAACTGATTAAAAGGTTTGATGGACTAGACGAAGTATATAGGATTGAAGATTTACGGAAGCTATTTAAGGACGGTCTTCTCCTTGCCAAACATAACCGAAAAGTTCTTGGCTAAAAGACAAAAAGTCTATTGCGCTTATAAAGGCTTTGAGAAGGCCTACGACAGAGTGTAAATGAAAGAATTGTGGTCGGCATTGCCTATGTATGGGGTGGACGGCAGTCTAGTTCAGGCACTGAAATCTCTCTATGAGGATTCCAGTGCCTGTGTCAGAATAAATGGTGCTTACACTGACTGGTTCGTTATCAGGAAAGGTGTTAGACAGGGATGTGTAGCGTCGCCATGGCTATTCAACCTAATTATGGATAATTGTTTGAAAGTTTTGAAAGAGAGTACGTGTGGGCTGAGAATGAATGGTTTACTCATTAAGTGCTTCCTATACGCCGATGACCAGGTGGTGTTAGCGTCGTCAGTGGAGGAGTTGTAGGAGATGGTAAATATTATGCATGGTAAATATCGTGAAAATAAAAAGAAGCCATATCGTGGTAAGAAACTTGATACTAGTGATAATAATTTAGTGAATAACCACGAAAGTCTTAAAATCTATATTATGCATGGTGTTCTTAAAAAGAAAGGAATGGAAATTAATGTGGGAAAGACAAAAGTAACGGTTTTTGAAAGAGCGGAACATATGAAGAATTGCACGATATTGATTAAAGGAGAGAAAGTGGAACAAGTGAAAGAGTTTGTGTATTTGGGTTCTATGTTTACGTGTGATGGAAAGTGTGAAAGAGACATTGAAAGAAGAGTGACCGCAGGGAATCAGGTGAATGGTGTCTTGCATACCTTCATGGGCAGCCAGAAAGTGTCTATGGGTTTGGCAGAAGAAGCATGAAAGTAGAATTAATGCAGTAGAAATGAGAGCTTTGAGGAGTATGGCTGGAGTGACTCGGATGGATAAATTACGGAACAGTGTGATAAGAGAGCGTTGCGGCGTGGAAGAAGATGTAGTGACAAAGATAGAGAAAAGGATGCTTAGGTGGTTCGAACCAGTAGAGAGAATGAATGAAAGAAGAGTGACGAAACAGATTTATAAGGCGAGTGTGAGCGGGCAAGTTGGTATGGACCGACCAAGGACAACTTATCATGACCAAATTGAGGCCATCCTAAAGAAGGGTCAGGTCAAGAGTACCCTTAACCGACGAGCGTGTATGAAAGCATTGACGCGTGTTCATGAGGCGAAAGATGTGGACAAGTGGAAAACTGTCGTCTCTGCCTACCCCGATGGGAAAAAGGCGTGAAGTATATGTATGTATATTGTTTAAACAATTAATCTTAACACATATTTTGTTGGTATATTATTATTTTCATTAATTTACTAATCGCTTATAAACTAAATAGTATGTTTTATAACAATAAGTGAAATGCTGTTACGACATACAAACAATTTTTGTTTAATGAAGTACTTTTTGTTACGAGTCGTCATCGCGTAAAGCAGGTAAATTTAATTCATCAACAATCGTTTCTGAGTCTGTAGTGATACCGATGTTGTCTATATGCTGGACCGGGCTTTGGGGCTGAGTAGCTACGGCATCTGCAGTACGGTCTTGGTTCAGCTTCGCTTCCATGCCACGGAATGTCACTTCGATGTTTTCGTTCGATGCCGGTATATTTTCGACTCGCTTACGTGCATCGTCGTCATCGTCTTCGAAGTCTTCTGCACGTTCTGATTTTGCTGGCCTGACGACAATTTCTAGATTAAACAGGAAATACAGTATCTAAGGGCTAGTGCAAACCCGAGGGCGGCGGGGAAGAGATCGAAGAGGATCTTTTGCTCACCAGAGCACACTGATGGGGGGTATATTGTATCTATTATGACACCTCGAACGTCCGCAAGCGTACCACAGAGTCCGCTGGAATGCCGCGGTATCCACCGATATGCTTCCGGTCGCTCTATTTTGAATCCCTTCTATTAGCGACAACGCAGTCAAAAAGTCCCCGGCATACACCGGTGGATTCCGTGACATATGACGGCACCTTCCCGGTATATCGCGGCATCCTCTAGCGTGCTCTACAGTACCGCAGAGAGAAATGCGCTACGATACTCCAAGGTCAATCTTAGAGCAATGAAATTTATACTTTATTTAATTTATTCAATTGTTATAGCATAAAATTAATTGATAAACTTAATGTCCTCTGTATTAATTAAATTTGTATTGAATTGATATTCAATTATTTTTTGTGAAATTACTCCACTAGTTTGTTATAATTATTAATACAAAGATCGAACACTCAGAAAAAACACTCAGAAAAAATTCCTTCGATCCGGTCGGATTCGAACCGACGTCTTCTTGCATACCGTGTCAGACGCTACACCAACTAAGCCACGGAACGAACCAACGGACCTCACGAATTTTTCTATGTGCTTGCGTCGTGTCTTATAAATTTGTAAAATCCGTAAATGTTGTGTTGTGAAACGATATTTATTCATACGAGAAATAAATTATCGTTGTATCTATTTCCTCGCAAATGTGATGAAAAACATTGTATGTAACACGGGCGGTAAAGATTACAAACCTCCAGTAGCCTTCAAGCCTTCAGCTTCAAGCTTCTAACAAACTTTCGTTAATAATTTCTTATTACACCGGCCCTTAATACACAATATATAATATATATTATATATATATATATATATATATATATAATATATATTATATATTGTGTTGTGTTGTATTATATATAATTACAACGTTATTATTAGACAATATGGAAGGAGGTATTTTTAAACAGCATCATAGCTCGACATGCGGAATAGCTATTACTCTGGTTTTGTTCTCAAATGATTATAGTTCTTAGTAACAAGTATACAAAATATACCCATGAGGATGATTCGTCCAAACAAAGTTGGTCATACGCGTTTGCGAACTTCTCAACAGCTTCTTGCAAGTTGCTCTGCAAACAAACAAGACATTTACTCGTAGTTATATGTCGTAGGAGACTTTTTTATATACGTAAACAAGATGAGGTCTTAGATAACCATCTGGATTCAGTTGGCCTTCTAATAAAAAAAACCGCTTTGACAACAGTCCAGTTGTGTGGAAGCCACGATACCACATAAATACAGAACGACACACATAATATACAGACAAAAACTTCAAACTTATAACTCCCCTTTTTTGCGTCGGCGGTTGATAAAAATAAATCTTTCGAAGCAGAAGTTAAGATTTTACTAATAAGATAAAACTGAGTACAGAATTCACAATTCTTCTTCTTCTTGTCCTTATCCCAGACTAGGTGGGGTCGGCACAGAAGAGCCTCAGTAGCGGCGGACATGGTGGTCCGCCGAATGCAACTGCTGGGGCTCGAGGTCGCCGTGCCGAAGACGGATGTGGCCGTCTTCGGCGGGAGGGGTAGAGGTTGGGTGGTGCCGGCAGGCGCCCACATCTCCATCGCGGGAGTATCGGTCCCGATCAAGTCACAGATGAAATATCTTTACCCCTCCCTTACAACCTCTACCCCTCCCGCCGAAGACGGCCACATCCGTCTTCGGCACGGCGACCTCGAGCCCCAGCAGTTGTATTCGGCGGACCAACATGTCCGCCGCTACTGAGGCCCTTCGGGCCGCCTCCTGGAAGGTGGTCCCCCGGACGGCCACCAGCGTGTCATCGGCGTACGCGATGACCGCCGTCCGGGGGAGCAGCGCGCCCCTCAGCACCCAATCGTACCCCAGGTTCCACAGTAGTGGTCCTAATACGGACCCCTGGGGAACTCCGCACCTCATTGGGCGCTCGGCGCGCCTCCCTTCCCTCGTCTGGTAGAGCACCACCCTGTCCTCCAGGTAGTGCTCCACCAGACGGCTGAGGTACCTGGGGATATTATGGTACCTCAGCGCCTCCCTGATAACGGCGAAGGGGAGAGTGCCGAAGGCGTTGGCTATGTCCAACGACACAGCCACCACGCCTTCCCCCTCGCCGCTACCCTCCTCCACAATGTGTCGCAGCGACTCCAGGGCGTCCAGGGTGGAGAGTCCAGCCCTGAACCCGTACTGCCGCTGCGACACATCGGGGCCTGTCCCCCTCAGGTGTTCGTTGATCCTGGAGGCGATGATTCGCTCCAGGATCTTTGCCACCTCGTCCAGCAGGACGAGGGGCCTGAACCCCGAGGGGGAGTCCGCAGGTCGGCCCGGCTTGGGCACCAGGACGAGCCTTCCCTCCTTCCAGCATCTCGGGAACAACCCCGTCCTCAAGCAGTCATCCATGAGATGCTTAAGGCGGGTCCCGAGATGCTTCAGGGCAATGCGAAGGACTCGTCCCGGTACCCCGTCCGGGTCGGGAGCCTTCTTCCGCCCTCGCAGCCGTCCCACCGCCCACTCCAACTCCCCCTCGGTGATTTCCGGGGGGGATTCCTCAGTCTGCCCCCCCTCTGCTCACTTTGGGTGTGGCGCCTGCTGCGGCATCGGCCGTAAGCCCGCCGGGCCGTGGTACTGGCGGTGCGGAGGTCCCCAATCTCCGCGGTCCACCGGTACACACACTTTTTGCCCGGGGTCCCTCTGACCCACGCCTGGACCATGGCTGCTTCCTCTGCGAGCTCAAGGTCCAGGCGGGTGAGTGCCCATTTGGGAAAGACCCCCCCCGGGGCCGTGTTAGAGGCCGTCGTGGGCGGCGTATGGGAGACCCTCATCCGTATGTATTTATGATCGGAGAGGGTCTCCTCGTCCTCCAGGACCTGCCACCCGGATACTCGCGCGGCTAGTGAGGGGGTCGCAAAGGTGATGTCCACGATTGACCCCCCATTTCGCCGCACGCACGTGTTGGCATGGCCCCGGTTGAGGACGACACCAGCCCTAAGGCTGCCGCCCAATCCTCCAACTTTGGCCCTCTGGCATTGGTGACCGGAGAACCCCACGCCGCGCTCTTGGCGTTGAAGTCCCCCAACACCAACACCGGCGTCGGAGCTGCCCTCCTCACCGCCCTCGGTTTGGAGAGAAGTACACCCCAATTAGGATGACTTCCCCCCCACCTCGCCGCCACGAACCCTGACCCGCGTTCCTTCACCACTAGAGGGGGGGAGTTTCCGTCAGTCGACGCCACTATGGCCACCGTCTCCTCCCGATCCCCCGCCCAGTTTCCCCGTGGGGGGACAAAGTATGGCTCCACCACAACCGCCACCGCAACCCCCCACTCCGCCATAGCCTGGACCAATAGGTCTTGTGCCCTGGCGCAGTGGTTGAGGTTGCCCTGCAGTATTGTGTGGTGACGTGCTGGCATCACACGTCCATACTCTGTCCCTCAACAGGGGGGGGGCCTGGGGTCCCCGCCGGCTTGCCCTTTGTGGGGGGAGGAGCGCAAGATCGCCCCCCCATTAGATGGTCCGCTGGTCGGCGAGTCGCCGTGCACTCGGAGGCCGAGTGTCCGGTTTGGCCACACCTGAAACAGAGCCCGCTTCTGTCCACATTGGAGGGGCAAAGGGCTCTGGTGTGGCCAATCCCCATGCACTTGTAGCAGCGCATGGGGAGGGGCTCCATCACGTGAACCCCGGCAGAGGACCACCCCACCAACAGGCGGCCGGTAGCCGCCACCAATTGGGCTGCCGCTACTGAGCAGCGAACGAGTGCTGACCCTCTTCCATTGGGGGCCAACCTGACAGCTCCTACGCTCACAAGAGACGGGGAGCATTGGCCCTTCGCGGCCACCACCGTCCGGATCTTCTCTGGGGTCACCGACTCGTCTAAGCCGGTGACCCTCAGATCGGCGGTTTTGGTTGGCCGCGTTACTGTCGCCAGCCCCCCGATCACCTCCTCCAGCTTGGACGCCAGGGTGTCGGCCTTCCCAGCGCTGGTCACCCCGGGCACCTCGATTATGCGGGCACCCGTCTGGGTGTTCCGCACCCGCACGTGCGGGATGCCGAGGCTGCCCACAAGTCCACAGCCGCGGTTGCCGCCTCGAGGACCCCTTTGTACGTGGCCCCCTTTTCCGCCACCGCTTCAGGCTTCAGGGTGATCACCACCGCCGATGATTTCGGGGTGGTGAGCGCCCTGGGTTTGGGGGCCGCCTGGGGGCCGGCAGCTGTCTTTTTGCCCTTCCTGGCCCTGCGGCCAATTACTTGCGACCAGGGCGTTGCCGCCTGGTGAGAATCGAACCTGGGACCTCTGCGTGGCAGTCCGGCATGGTAACCGTTCGGCCACGGAGGTAGTTAAAGTGAAGTGCTCTTTGAAGTTCCACCGGCTGCCCAGGGTGAGCCCAAGATACTTTATATGAGGGCTTCCCTCCGAGGCCAGTCGCGACGCTTCCCCCCCAATCCCGCCCTCGGGCGTAGACTAGTGTGTCATCTGCGTAGCAGATGACACCCAGTCCAACGGGGAGAGATCCTCGGAGCACGTAGTCGTAACCGAAGTTCCACAACAACGGGCCCAGAACCGAGCCCTGTGGAACCCCACGGCACATACTCCGCTCCCTCATCTCCCCGTTCCGGTCAAGGAAGGAGATCTTCCTCCCGGTGAGGTAGCTCGACACCACCTGCCTCAGATATTGAGGCAGGCGGTGGAACTTTAGGGCCTCCTCGATGACAGAGAACGGGAGATTGTTGAACGCATCGATGGTCGAACGCCCAGCCCGAAATCCGAACTGGTGCGACGACACATCGGGGCCCACACTGTCGAGGTGCTCGATGATGCGGGCAGCGAGCTCTCGCTCGAAAAGCTTACCCGCCTCAACCGGACGCCCATCCTTCAGGAGGAGGCAAAGACGGCCCTCCTTCCACACCTGGGGGAATCTCCCCGACCCCAAGCTGGCGTCGAAGAGCTTCAATACGCGTTCTCCCAGGTGTTCCAACGCAAGTGCCAGGACTTTCCCTGGCACACCGTCCGGACCGGGGGCCTTTCTTGTGGCCCTGAGCCGGTCCGCTGCCGCCTTTAGTTCCTCCTGTGTGACCGGAGGAACTGTATCGGCCTGTTCCGGCTCCGCAATCGGTGGAGCCATGGAGGGAGGAGAGAAACTCTCATCCCCCTCCGGGAACAGGCCAGCCACCACTTGACCGAGGAGCTCCGTCTCCATCGTCTCGGCGGGGGGCGCCCGGTGCTGCAACTTGTTGCGCACCATCTTGTACGGGCGCCCCCAGGGGTTCCCATCCAACTTGGCCAGGAACCCCTGCCGGGCCAGTTCTTGGGCACGGTTTATGCCCACTCGGAGCTCCTCTTGCGCCGCCCTATAGGCGGCGTGGTGGTTCTCCTCCTCCTGGGGTGTGTGACGCCTTCTGCGACACCGCTTGTGCGCCGTCCGCGCGGCGTTGCTGGCGGATCGCAGAAGCGCGAGCTCGTGCGTCCACCAGTAGACCTCCCTCTTGTTGGGAGGCCTGCCGCCGCTACGGGGCATTGCGGCATCGCAGATGGCAGTCAGATTCCTTCTGAACCCGACTGCCATCTCGTTTTAACCCACTTGGGGTGAAGCGCCCCATGCGGCCACCACAGCCGCCTCTGTTGCCCTGTCATCGAATTTGGCGAGGGCCCAACGGGGAAACCCCTCTCGCCCTCGCCCTCGCCGTGCAGGCGCCGTCGTTGACGCCTGCGAGGAGGAGACCCTGAACCTTATGTATACGTGGTCCGAAAGGGTATCCTCCCCCTCCAGCACCCGCCAGTCCTGCACATGTGAGGCTAGGGTGGGGGTCGCGAACGTTATGTCCACGATGGAACCCCCCCACCTCCTCACGCAGGTGTTGGCGGTGCCGCGGTTGGCGACGACCGCCCGTTGGCCGTCACTCACGCATGCACCGCTCGCCCCTTGGCGTTGGGCAAGCGGCTGCCCCAAGCCTGCGATTTGGCATTCAGGTCGCCCATTACCAAAATATTCGCCGGGTGCGAGCCTCCTCACGGCCGAGCTGAGCCTCAACAAGAACGGCTCAAACTAACCTAAGACTAAAGCTCAAAAAAACGTAACCGGCCCCCCTCTCTTTTACGACGAGAGGGGGAGCCGCCGACGGCGTGACGATGGCCACGACGCCGTCCACGTCCCCAGCCCAGTTGGAATGCCTGGGAACGTAGTACGGGTCCGCGGCTACCGCAACGTCCACTGACCACTGCGCCATGGACTGCATGAACAAGTCCTGTGCTCTGGCGCAGTGGTTCAGGTTCGTCTGGAGGAAGTTTAGTTCAAGTCTGTCCATCAATAGACATTTCAACTTCCTCCACTGGCGCAGCCGTAGGTACCGTCGCTGCGGTGGAGGCCTGGTTCCCTGGGGCCTCCTTAGCCTTCATTGGGGGAGGGCGACACGCCTTCCCTCCTATTATGTGCGCCGCCGGCCGACCAAGATCGGCGCAGACGGCGCACTCTGGCTCCGCCTGACATCCAGCCGCCCGGTGACCTGGCTTGCCGCACCGGTAGTATAAATTGCTCCGGTCCGAGCTCACTGGGCAGCGACGCCCTTCGTGACCGATGCCCATGCAGCGATAGCACCGCATGGGCAATGGCTCAAGCACCCTGACGTGTGCAGTGCTCCACCCCACCCGGAACTTTGTGGCGACCACCGCCTTGGCGACGACGATAGGGCAGCGTACGACGACTGCCCCGCGGCTGTCCGCTCCGGTGGCGATCGCGCCCACCCGAACCTGGTCAACGGAGCATGACCTTTTCGCCGCCACGGCCGCACGCACCTCCTCGGCCTCGACGGAGTCGTCGAGGTCGGAGATGCGCAGCTCCACGCATTTTGTGGGCCGTGCGACCGCGACGTCGTCGCCCAACACTTCTCGGAGCCTGGAGGCCAGGCGGTCTGCCTTTTCGGCGCTGGCGGCGCCCGGGACCTCCAAAATGCGGGCCCCGGTGGCAGTCTCCCTAATCTCCTGGAGATCGAACGCTTGACGTGCACGGGAGATCGTCTGAGCATACGTGACTCCCTTTTCTAAGGCCGCCGGCTGCAGTGTGAGAACCACAGCCGTTGATCGTGGCCGAGGAGGAGGAATAGCCTTCCTCGGTTTAGGCTGGGCCCTCGTCGTCGCGGGCGCGGCAGCCGCCTTCACAGCTGCTTGTCTCGCCCTCTGCCGCCTCCTTCTCTCACGACGCCTTTGAGTGACGCTCTCCACCAGCGTTCACCCTTCTAAATGTGGCGTCGGTGGCGGTGCTCCGGCCCCTGTTGGGGCGCGCGGAGTCGCCTTGTAACTGGCCGGCTTTGCTGCCGGCCTCGGGGCAGGCACCGAGACCAACTTCGCCAATGGTCTGGCGGGCGGCCCCGTCCCTGGCACCCACCTGGACGTGGCTGGCTGTGGCGCGGGAGCCCTGGCGTAAGCTAGGGCGGCCGGGCGGCGTCGTGGTGAATGTTCACTGATTCCACGGCGCCGACTCAACCGGCGAGAGAGAAACCCGGGGGGGTTTTAGTGGGGCAGGCCCTCCAGACTGGAGGGAGAGTCCCCACATAACCCTGAGTCTCCCTGGGCTCAGGGGTATCCATAAAGATTTCCCCCGTCAAAAAAAAAAATGGTGGGGTCGGCACAACATGTATGTTCCCTCCATTCTCCCCGATAGGGGACGGCTGATAAGCCACCATTTCAACACTCACACCGTTTTTTTAAATGTCATCGTTCACACAATCCATCCATCTTCCCTTTAGCCTTCCTTTCCCCTTATATCCCTCCACATTCACACTTAACACGCTTCTCGTCACAAGACATTTTCCCTCCGCATGACATATCCATACCACGCTAACATGCACGCTAACTGCTCACCTTTTCCGTCGCTGGCGCCACTTTCAAACTTCCCCTGATGTACTCATTCCTCATCCTTTCTCGTCACTCCACACATCCACCTCAACATTCGCATTTCCGCTGCATGCACAATTCGTTCATCCTCTCTCATCGTCCATCGGACTAGGAGAATACCTATTGTGGGAGAAAAATGGATTTATATTTGGGGACGGTAGAAAAAGTAAAAACGTACCCCATTTCTTTATCAATAGCACAACCAATCAGATGTCGGTTGTTAAACACGCTAGTATAAAGGAATGGCCCATGGCACTTGTTGGTTATTTCCGATGTAAGACACGCTGAGATCACTCCAATTACAAGCGACGTCTTTCCGTAACCCACGATTAGTGGTCCTCCATGGTCGTTCTACAATAAAGATTAAAAATATTAGTCAATTGTGCCACCTTTAGCTTGTATACGTATAATTATTAACCTAGCTTACTACAAGTTGTAACAAAAGGGTACGATAATGTTTCAGCAGTTGATCATATTTACATATATCTAACAAACACATAATTTTAACTGGGAGAAAAACATTTTTGGGTCACGAATATAATTTTAGTGGCAGTAGATCTCCTTGTGAAAGAGTTCTTTTAAGGAAGTATCACACCTATTGCTGCCAGCAATTAAGAGAGCATGTAACTACAGGTACATGAAATTTGCCAACTTTATGTCTTAGGCAAATGGGAGCAGTGGCAGTGCCCCTCAGATCTTTGTGATTATAACACAGTGTTTCTGCCTTATGATGGAATAATATGAACAAGAGACTGAGTATATATAGGCATTAAGAGGGGAAAATCCCATCTGTAGATTCAAAGCAACACAATCCATTCTTACCTCACAAAATCCACCGGACTTCTTTCCAGCTGTTATTAAATTTCTTCGACTGAGGTAGTATTTACCTGATCTCCTTTCATCTTCTTCATCCTCCTCTTGTGAGTACACCAGCTCTTTGCAATTTACTTCGTGTTCCTGTTAATAATGTATGTGGCTTATATTAATTCAACTCGCTGCTTTTCAAGAGTAGTGACACAAACCAAAATAGTTTATATTATTACTTGCTGCAAAGCTGTATTCTGTAAATTTTATTGTTAATAAGGCACTTAGCTATTACTGGTTAAAATTATCATGTGACACCGTTGTTCCAGTCTTGGCTTTGGAAGGCAAATACGAATTGGGAAATTTTCAGGTAAGTTTTCTCTACCTAATTTCGGTGGCAATTTTTATTATTTGAATGTTCTAGAATATTATTATGAAGTATTATATAATATTCGAGTGTAGTATCCTGAAATATATTTAATATTTACAATAAATACTTAAACATTTAAATAACAAAATTGCCACTAAAATTAGGCAGAGAAAACTAACCAGAAAATGAACCAAATAACTTTTAGTATTCTATATATATATTCTATACACTATTCGAGACAGCCTTCGAATTGTTTTGTGACTTGCATGGGGCAGTGAAAGAAAGAGGAACTTATAAATAAATAAGATTTCCATCGTTAAGATGATTTGGAAAAACATAGTGCAAGGTATTACCGGTCCGATGGTAATTTTGACGGTATTAATCTCTAATTATAATTTTCTAGGTCCAATGGAATTATGATTCGTGTGATTTGTTGATAAGGCTTAATTGACATTGGTGTGCAACGAAATGGAAGCGAATTTTTGTAACTACAGATTATGAACTTTATTTGTGTAACATACGAACTAGATACGAGCCAAAAAACACGCACTGCGGCTACTGGAGAAATCTCGCGCAGTTACGGGAATTCCTGCAGCTATCGTACCGTATCCAGCTTGTACGTTGCACAAACGACATACAGTTCATTATGTCATGTACAATTTCGTTACAAACATCCGCAGTAATTTAAATTGAACCTTCTGAATAGATAATGTTACTTACAGAGCAAGCCTTGTTCACAGATTCAGCGTCAGTACTGTCTTTGCCACAAATCGCATGCCTGTCAATGATATAGTGGTACCTTTGCGGCCATCGTCTTTTGCAAACTTTCTTCGAGATTATAATTACTTCTGTTTCCAGTAAATCAGGAGAATTTAGAGGTATTTTTGCATATAGGAAACCTTCATAACCGGCTCGGGCGTTGGATTTTGCAATCGGCTCAATTCCTGCTTCTAGGCCTTCTCTGCGCGGATTAGGACCCTGTAACAATCGATATTTTTCTAACAGTATTTAAAACAAAGTAGAGTTCATTTTCAACTGTATGTGCTGTGCGGAACATTTTTTTTCTCTTACATTTGATGACCCACTAACCATTTGTGATTGATTAGTATAGGATTTAACAAAATTGACATAAATTCAAGGTTTTATTCTGTTTTTACTTGTACCATCATTACGTTCGTTATGCCCCCGGTTTCTTTTGCCCCCGTTTTGTTTGCACCCGATTGAGGTGAGTTAGGGTAAATTTAGGTCATAGCAATTTTTAATTAAATGTACTATTAGACACAAAAATGCTTTTACTAAATTAGTAAATTTTGTTAGGTATGTAATATTGCTAGCCTCTATGAAACAAATTTGAAATAACATGATCTTTACACTTGATACAAAGTCACAATTATTTTAATAATATATTTATCATACTGTCGCTTTAAATACTTCAAATATAATATAACATGAAAAAGAATTTTAAAGGATATCTCAATATCAAAATAATTGTTTTCATAAAAATGAGTTTCACCAACCATTATAAATTACAATTTAAAAAAATGTCTAAGTATATATAATTAAGACAACATAAATTAATAAGTTCTTAAACATTTTGGTTGTCAACAGTACTTAATATAAATGAACTCGTATGTAACAAAAATATTGAGCTGAGTGAAGAAATAGATTTCTCACAGATGGCGTTACGGCAACAAAAAAATGGTTAAAAACTAAAAACAAAGATCTGCAACAAGCACATTAAAAAATTTTAAACTCCACTAGTTGGTTCCGTGGCTTAGTTGGCATAGAGTCTAGCACGGTGTGCTGGAAGACGTTAGTTCGAGTCCAGCTGGGTCGAAGCATTTTCTTCTAAGTGTTCGATCTTTGTATACCAGGGGCATAACGAACGGACCCCAAATGCAATATTAAATGATCTATTTTCACTCGGTATAACAATATTTGATACAATTTCGAAAGATATAAGCACCCATGGGATGTAATTAAAAAAATTATATAACAATAACAACATTCCAATAGGAGACTCCTTTTTAGGTACCGGTTTGGGACCTTTAGGTATTTTTAAACTCACATGTTTTTTATAGTTATATATAACTAACTACCTTCAGTAAATACTGCAACATATAAAACACGATATAAATCAAGTGGTTTAAATTTAACCAGTAATTTGACCACCAATTTAAACAGTAAGGCTAGCACGACATCAGGGCGCGACTAACGCGAGAGCGACTTAAAACGCGAGATACTGCTATACTCCCATAGATTATAGCAATTATCGCTCTTCTATTTCGCTCTCGCCCTAGTTGCGCCCTATCGTGCTAGCCCTACTGTTGTCGCATAGCCATCTCGCGCTTTGTCTCTCGCGCAAGTCGTACTTGTTCGTGCTAGCTCTACCGGGGGCCTACTATAACCTTTCAGAAAACAATCTTATTTCAAAGTAAGTTTATTATAATATTACTCATATTCGTATCATGACAAACCTATCAACCAAGTAATGTATTATTGCTAAAGTGACTGAAAGAACGAATGATTTCCCAATATTGTCTATTCCTTACTAAAAATAGGAAAGAAATAACGCCATATGAACTGTATAATGTCATCTCTTTCTGTTTTGATATTTCGAATCATCCTATGGTATCTCCTATGTTAAAGTACTAAATATTATTTATATTCAGATAATTTTAACTGCCAAGAAAAGGTATGTAATAATGAAATCTATTAAAATTACGTTGTTTTCAATTATTTTTCCGCATTTTCACGAAGAAAAATAAATAAAACAAGCTGAGTCTTGATTGTCGCGGTGTGAATTCGGAATTATAGTCTAAAATTGACTGTTAGTGTCGCCAAGGAGCATATAGATGTCGCTGTCATAATTTTACGAAATAAACATTGCATATTTTTATTTAACGAGAAATTATTTTCTATGTACTATTAAATAAATAACAAACAAAATATTAAAGAAATATATGTACATAAATAAGTTCAACTTAACTTTTAATCATTACAAATCAATATTTAGACAATATACGAAAATAATATTGTTTCCATTGCATCCGTGTAACTGTTTTCAGATTACTAAATTTGACATAAGAACAATATTACTTTAATGTTAAGGGCGCGTCATAGTACGAACTGACTATAGTCACAAAGCTGCCAATAAAACATCATAGTTTTAACATTATAACGAGCTTACTTTAAGCGCGTCATGGTACGAAAAGTCCATGTAAGGTTACAGTAAAATTGTCTTAAGAGGTTGTGGTAGGCTCCCTGCCAAATCTTGCCAAATCAGGTTTTGGTTCGGTCAATTTACACTGGAAATGTCTAACCCAGTTTAATAATTTCGAATGAAGTAATGTGGATTTCTTAAATTCACTTAAGTAGTATATTTCGTACGTGGAAGTCGAAATAGTTTTAAAGCGAATTTTGTAAAATAATATTCTTAGAAAATTTGTGAATCTTTTTAAATATGTCGCACTATTTGTTGAACAACTGTAGAACGTAATTCATTCATATAATCCTAGTAAAGAGTACTAAAAAAATCGACCTCAAAAATTCGTGGAGTTACGTATATTTGCTACGTTTTATTGAAATCGGTTACCAGAAAGTGCGCGAAACAGGATTAATCCCCTAGTTTGATACTCTTAGAAGTTGAATATTTCCTTGAAATTTACAATTATAAAAGTGGGACCAACTACCGAGGTATTCTCTTTCCAACAAAAAAAGAACCATCAAAATCGGTTCAGAAATGTCGGAGTTATCGCGTAAAATATATTAAAAAAAAGTCGAATTGAGAACCTCCTCTTTTTTTTTGAAGCCGGTTAAAAATATTGTAAGATAATGTAAAACAATACGTACCTTTGAATCTTCGTTATTTGTAGCTGGAGTAGGCGTGGCCTTCTCCATTTTAGCTAACTGAAATCAAGATAGACTAGGTTCTAGACACCATTATGTTGTTACTATTAATAGCAATTGCTTTCGCGTGAATTATGATATTCATATTCATATCTTTATTGCTTGCCACACGGTTTCACTTAAGATGTTATAAAATATAATACAGTAGTCACACATGTGACACCCTGCAAGGGCGCCGCAATTCGGTAGAGCACTACAAATTAGTAATTACAAATATAAATATCTATACAAATAATTAATAATAACTATTTTCTTATAACATAAAATTAAATAACATTGCAGTATTTATTATTTATGACCTAATCTATTTAATGACTAGAAATGGTAGACGAAATATTTACTTAAATATTTCGTCTAATTTATAAAATGCGTTATTGAAAAGGTTTACTTGGGACTTTTTTTAGATAAGCAATAAATGTCGATAATTTTTCTTTGTTTTTTTATCTCATTTAGTATGCTATTATAGATTAGAATTGCCGTTGAGTGGGAGTCGGATCTATACAGACTGTGAGTAGTTGCGGGAAGTTCTAATTTATGTAAGTCTCTATTGTTTCTTTTTACTGTTGTATTTGGACAGTCAAATTCTTTAATTAGTTTGTGCTCTTAATTTTCTTCTTCTAATTCGATGGCATACACTGTAATGCTTGCCATCGTATTGAGTGGATTTGCCAATCGACGTAAGGTACTCGTCGATTGTGGCCCAGGTTGTGACGCATACATTAGATAAAGAAGTTCACAAGGTGGTTGTCCGTTGTACGTTTATTGAATACGCAACGGACTTCTCAAGCAAATCGAATGAACTTTAACGTATTCGGTGCTTCGGCGCGAAGTCGTACGTGTTTTATCGAATGATCACCGAACAAGCGGCGTCTATTGAAGTATCTTTTATAGAATGAAGTATTTTATATATAAGGATGCATAATTTTATTAATACAAAATGACCGGCGAATCTTTTGAGGTAACGATATGTTTATTGATATCATTAGCGGAACAAAAGCCCGTTTTGTGGGACAAAACTATGGAATTGCATAAACGCAATACCTTCTGTTCTTCCAGTGGCAAAGTCGTTGGCGTCTTCTATGCCAATATAAAAGTGCAACGAGGCGTGGATCCACCACAGACGTGTTCTCAAATCGATTGCTGTGTAAATACTGCGGCTATCCGTCTTTTAAATGCATGAAAATATACCGTGTGAACACGCCGATGTCTATCCGTCTATAATCGAATACGTTAAAGAAATGAAAAATGAAAAAAAAAAGACGGAAAAGAGACGGCTCGCCCTTTTACTACCGCTCCCTATGGACGTTAGTAGCAGTAGACAAAATATGTAAAAATATTTTTACACTACTAAATTTCTTTTTATCTATTTCTGCCGCCAAGCAGTAATGTTAGCATTACTACGCTCCGGTTTAGGAGGGTAAGGGTGCTGGTGAAATTACAGGCACATGGGACTTGTCAACTTATGTCTCAGGGTGACGGGCACAGTGGCAGTGCCCCTCAGATTTTGCGATTTGAAGCTCAGAGCGAGAGAGTCATACTACATAATCAAATTTATAGATCGAGTTCTGAATTCCGAAATTCGTACGAAATAGGCTCAACTCACACTCGCGCAGAGTCGAAGCGTCGTGACGTCATGTTTTCCGCCTATAGCATATTCATTTCTATTTTCCCAATATTAAGGTACAAATTAGTAGTTACAAAAAAAATTGTAGGTACAAATATGGAATCGCACGTCGAGGCTAGGTTAAAGTCGAGCGGTTTCGCTCGTCGCCGTGCATTCCTTGGCGCCAAACGCCGACTACAATGTGATCCGGGTGCACTAATGCGAGAGTCGCACAGTGGGCCCAAATTGATAATTCTAATTTTTTGAAAATTAATGGTTTCAGAGAAAAAAATATTTTTTTTTGTACGGAGAAACATAGGTACATTTTATTTTTTATCTCAAAATATACGAAAATGTAATGTGCGTGGGTTACTCACAGTATAGTTCCAATTATTTTCTATGTAGAAAAAAATAATCCGACTGCATGTACTTGCGGCTTTATAAGTAAAGGTGCGGCAAAATTGCTAACTCTTTTATGTACTTTTTTAACAAAATACATGAGCTTCAACTAAAGAAAAATTAATTTTAGTGTAATTTAGAGAGTAAAACCGCAAGTACGAACGACTGGACCTATACTGTTAGTAAACCACACACATTAAGAGATAAAAAATAAAATGTATATTTCTCCATACAAAAAAATAAATTATTTTTTTCTCTGAAACTATTCACTTTTTAAGAAATCATACAAGAATAAAAGTTGTTAGGGATGATATTATCTATCATGTAAAAAAATTTTGCTCGATACTCCACAAGTTATTCCTATGTCCAAGAATTATCAATTTGGGCCCACTGTGCGTCGTCGCGCAACGCCATGCGTTGTAGTTGAAAAACAGGACGTGACGCGACCCTTCGACTCTGTGACAGTGTGGGATGAGCCCTAAAGTTCAGGATATAGGAGATTGGATAACGAGTTTAAAATGGAGCTGGGCGGAACATGTTGCGAAATGTGATGAACACAGGTGGAGTAAGGTGATAACCGAGTGGTGACCAAGAAATGGATATAGAAACGTGGTACGTCCTGTAGCGAGTTGGGTGGACGACATTGTCAAAGTTGCGGGCAGTAAATCGGTGAGATTAGCACCGGATCATGGTGGATGGTACAAACTACAGGAGGCCTATACCCAGCAGTAGGTGAAGTCGGGCTGTGGATGATGAGTCTCCACTTTCTGTCTCTGTTTTTCTAAAGTTTAGGGAAAAAAGCTCTAACTATTCCTATATTCAAGCAATAATATATTCAATCACTTATTTCGTGCAACATGGATCATACATGACAAAGATTTAATAGAATTAAACTCAAAAATAAAATATAGTAAAATCAAAATTAAACTTTAAAAATAAATAATAATAAAATACATTACAATCAGAACACTATTTTAGATTTGGTCAACAGATGCACCAGACAATAATATTTTAGTTTGCCACCCTTAGAGGTGGAATATTGTCTTCAAATTTAAATGGGACCACTACTGAGGTACCCACTTTTCCACAAAAAAAAAGAATCATCAAAATCGGTTCACAAATAAAAAACATACATACAAAAGAAAAACATACAGTCGAATTGAGAACCTCCTTCTTTTTTTGAAGTCGGTTAAAAAGATATCATATCGTCGCAAGAAACCTGTAATTAGTGATAATCATTTAAATAAATGTTGTATGATCTAGGTACTGTCGTTGCCCGGCGATACTCGTTAGGCGGGCGTGGATAGGTTTCGGCTCAGGGGTTCGATTCAGAACCCTACGATAACTCAGTTGTCGACCGACTCGATTTGATATCTTACGATTTCTTTTCATTTTTATCCACAACACCCGAATGGAACGTCAAGCTATTGTATACGAAACCGAATCGAAATGATAGACGTCGAAAAGCTACTACAAACATGATTCAGATCACAGTTGTCCTTAGACTATGGAAACTAAAGGACATGTTACGTAGACATATGTATATAAATCAGACGTTATCTGTGTATGATGCATTTCGGCGTCGAAAACATAAACATGTTATTGTCTTTGTTTAACTATTACGTGCCGTCTTAAGCCAAAAGAGCATTACATTGGTCTGTGTCAAACACGGGAATCGAAAATACGTAACGTCGTCTTAAATGCCAACCGTGTCCATTTCGCAGTACATGAGGTACATGATACCTTTGTCAAAGGGAAGTACATCAAATGTCAAAACAAATGTTTTTCCAAATGTGCTATTGAATTATTCGTATGTATTATAATTAATTTTGTGACGGTGTGACCTCCTTATACCGTCATCCCACCTATTTGTATCGCCTCTCTCCATTCGTATCGTATCGTTTTTTCTTCTTCTACTCATATTTAAATTTAAAATTGTTCCATTTTACCTCGCATTCTGATTTTGTTTCTTTCCATCGTCACTCTCTGCGCGACCGCGGTAGCGAACATACCATTATTTATCTTTTTGAATCGTTTACTAGCTATATTTATACAGTTTACATTTTAAAGTATATTTGTTAAAACCGATTAAATATCTATAAACTGGACTTTCAACGTTTGAGTTGCTAAATTTACTAAATAAGATGGAGGCTGCGAGGCTGCGGAGGCTATTACTGCTATCCAGGCTACACACCATTACAATCCACCAGAACGCCCCCAGCACCAGCAGCACCTCCACAATTTGGACAAAAATATTGACAGTGAGAATAATTAGGTATTAATAAAAATGCGACGCTGCAGCATTAAGGGATGTGGCTTTAGAAAACTGCAAATCAATCGAATGTTACATTGCACAGGCATGTGTTATTTTTTGTCTATAAGTCACACAATAGCCCAAATATATCGTGTAATTAGACTTATTAAGTAGTTTATTTATCTTGCCAAATTTTGCTTTTGTTACTTTAGGTTGCCAGTTTGTTTGTATATTTTCATGATTGTTGTTAACGATTATTTTGAGATAGTATTGATCTTGTAAGCATACATATTATCGATATTCTGTTATTAAAACAATTCACTACGAGGTTTTTATTGTTTTATTATTATTATTTTTATTATTTCAAGTTTTCCTACAAATGAAAAAAGGTAGAAAGAATGGTTGGAAATCATAGGACTGCCATTCGGCTTATATTCATAAGTAGGTATAATTAAGTAAGAATGCGCATGTCGCCAGCAAACTGCGCAGCAGTTTGGTGTCTTTTACTATTTAAGTTACCAGTTGTAATCTTGAAAATAAATTTTAAAAAAGTTTAAAAATGCGTGTTGACATTTACTTCATTACATTAAATCATTAGACTTGTGTTTGTTTAGGCATACTTTGGTTACAGTAAACTAAAGAAACAAGAAAAACAGTTTCAACATTCAAGCCATACATTTGCATGTTGATAATGACTTATCGATAGGTTATGGTACAACACTAAAGAAGTCCGCCATTTGTAATTTTCAAATTTTGGTTATATGCACGTTGATTCTGTAGTTAGTGCAGCTCCTTTCTTTTATTTTTTTTTCCATCCTCTAAGCAGTTATCGAATGAAAGTTACTGAACGTCCTATTTATTGTTTACAAAGCAAAAATGTAATATGGAAATCTCATACTTTTTAAAATAAAGTCTGGATTTTTTTCAATTTTATTAATTTATTTTAATGAAAGACTAATGCATTCCTATATTTTAGTCCTTTAAAGTCTTAAAATTGTATATAAAAGGCTTTTCATTTTTCTTATTATCTATTTCACCGACTAACTCCGTAAACGCTGTTGGTTATCGATATCGTACCCGAATCCGAATCTAACGTTTAACTCGAATGTTCTGAATAGCTCGGAAAGCGCCTTCGATCGAGAACGATATCTGAACGAAAGGTTCGGTTAAAATATTGACTAGTTCTGTGTCGGATTCCTGAGCGAGAGGGATACCTACCGTATAATTCATTTTTATTGTAAGACATCGAATGCAGCGTAAATTACGCGACTCACAACTCACAAAGTTACATTCTTTTGCCGTTACCCTTGCGCGTGAGAAAAAAGGTTTTTGACAACAAACTTACATCACTGAAGAACCCGGTGCTGCCCCAACCAGCAATCGATCCTATGGTGTTCGGTTTCTCGTGTTCAATTGTTACATTGTTGTATGCCACCTTAAATATATTTAATTACATTAATATGTATTGTATAAACGTGTGCTACAGTAACCCTTTGAGTTCTAACTCAGAGGGTAACTAATGAAGAACACACAACTTACAAACGAAAACACGAAATTTGACAGTTATAATTGTAACATTTTTATTAAAAAAAACCGACCTCAAAAGTTCGTGGAATTACATCTATTCGCCAAGTTTTATTGAAATCGGTTACCGGAAAGTGCGCAAAACCAGATTCATCCCCTAGTTTGCCACCCTCAGAGGTGGAATATTTTCATCAAACTTAAATGGGATCACTAATGAGGTATCCTCTTTCCAACAAAGAAAGAATCATCAAAATCAGTTCACAAATTTTTGGCCCGAGTTATCGCGATACAAAAAAAAACCAAAAACAATCGAATTGAGAACCCCTCCTTTTTTGAAGTCGATTAAAAATGAAAAAGTCTTTATCTAGGTCACGTGCTCAATACAGACGAGGTGACGAGGTGACGAGCCACTTCTAAAAAGTAGGAGAAAGACGAGTTGGCTATAATAAAAAATCGTGACTGTCTAAGATTAGAGATTGAGGCATTCCATGTTCATGTTCAGGTTCCATGTTCTGGTATAGTGTGATCATTGGTTTGTATGAACATTGTTATCATAACTCAACCTTTTTATAGCATTCTTCTGCATTATTTGCTCATGAACTGTGTTCGGACGGAACCTATCAGGGCGCGGTTATTTGCAGAGGCTGGTTTCCGTACATTTAATGTTGGGTGGTTTCAACCTGTTTTGGTGGAGCCAACATGTAGTGCCGCGGAGATTTTGTATACATGTTTGGTTAGGTAGTATTTTGATTTATCTGTCTGGATTTTATTAAGTGTTTTCTTGATGTACCGTTTTTCTAATAGGGTTGACATGTTCCATAACGATCAAAGCCCCAAAATAAATAAAGATTTAAAAAAAATATTTATGTCCATGAGTCGATGGTCACCCGGTTGAACCTGAGTCTGAAAGCTGCTTCCGACTGGGGAGATGCTAACAGGGTCAGGTTTAATGCGGCTAAAACACAGGCGTGTCTTTTCTCATCAAAACGGAGTCCCCTACACCTTACTCCGACTTTCCGAGGTGTATCCGTGCCGATAAGGGACCACCTTGAGCTACTTGGTCTGGACTTATCATCCAACCTCAACTTTGGGCGATACATCGAGTGCTTGGCAAAAACTGCTGCCAGAAAACTAGGCATACTTTTCAAGGTCAGGCGGTACTTCACACCTGAACAGCTTTTAAATCTGTATAAAGCACAAGTTCGATCCTGTATGGAGTACTGCTGCCATCTTTGGGACGGCTCTGCCCAATACCAGTTAGCTGCCTTGGACTCGGTGGAGCGTAAAGCAAAGAGACTTATTAACAATAATCCTCTTGTGGAGTCGAAGCTCCAAAATCTCGATCATCGCAGAAAAGTAGCCTGCTTGTCGGTTTTCTATCGGATACATTTCGGGGAGTGTGCGCAGGAACTTTTCAATTTGGTTCCGCCCTCACCATTCCTCCTTCGGTCGACTAGAAGGTCCGGAGCACTCCATTCTTATGTCGTTGATATTCCACCTATTCGCACTAAGCGCTTTGCCTCCTCCTTTCTGATGCGTACGGCAAAGGAATGGAATGCTCTACCGGCATCTGTATTTCCCGAAAAGTACAATTTGGGGCTATTCAAGGCTAGAGTGAATAGGCATTTTTTAGGCAAACGCGTCCCATCGTCGGTCACATCGTCGCTTAACATCAGGTGAGATTGTGGCCAAGCGTGAGTCTATTATATATTAAAAAAAAAAAAAAAAGTGTAGTTGATTCAACATGCGCTGGTATGGAGTTCGTTGTGGTAGCATTAAATTTGTTCACGTGTTTCTGAAAACTCGACTAACTGGCTGTTACTGCGGACCTATGTGGCCCAACGGCTAATAATGAAAAGGTCGAGGTTCAATTCCCGGTGGGACCAATTTGGGAAATGGACTTTTGTAAACTGGTTCTAGTCTGTTTTGGGAAGTACCCCAGAGTGAATTCCGTTATTCTGGTATTCATAGTACAGGTAATTTCTTAGATGAGGTCAGGCAATTGGTGTGGTTGTAAAACTAAGCATTTCGATTGGGTTTTAAAATTTCGTACCACTCCTAGCCCCGCACTAGGGAAAACCTGTATCGCGGGTGCCACATACGTACACATGGACAACCACAAATTACACCTAAACTCACGAGAGAAATAAATGTAGGCCGTACAAAATATTTCCACCGGCCCGGAAATCCAAAGCTGGATCTGTGCGGCAGACCAGCACGGCAACCGTTCGGCCACCGAGGCAGTTGAGTTAATTTAAAACTTGGATTTATATAGGAAATAAAAATAGTAAGAACGGTCTGGTCACTGATCAGGAACAAAGGTTCCTATCAAATTAAATTTATAAAAATTATAAAAATAATATAATAAGTAAATATTTTTATAATTATTTATTTATGTATTTACATTGATATCATTGTGTATTTATTTTTTTTATTTTTTTTATTTATTTACTTTAAAATGATATATTATTGTGTTTATTATTAATATTTATTTATATTATATACTATATTTATTATTAGTATTTATTAATATTGTTTCTCAATCTATCGCTGTGGTATCTTGTATCTTGGTTGCACCCCCTTCTAAGTACTTTTCCTATCCTAAGGTTGCCTGGAAGAAATTGCTACTTAGCAATAAGGCCGCCTGTTGTGCGTATGTTTATCTGTACATGTGTTTATGTTCGTGTGTTTATCTGTGCAATAAAGTATATTCATTCATTCATTCATTCATTCATTCATTCATTCATTCAAATTGGAATAGCCTGTTTTTGTGTTAGTTTGACCCTGTATATATGCCAATTTTTTTCGAAATGTTCGTTTGAAAAATATGTATATTGATTAACGTAATCTTCTATACTACATTAGAGCCTATGAATACAATTTTTTTTTAATATAGAGCCTAGTTGAATGGTCCATGATAAGATTGAAGTCTGACCTTTTGTGGCACGAAGTCGCATCCTTTTATTCGCTTCTCAAAGTTGAAGTCGTCCTCTACTTTGACAACTGCAATATCGTTGACCATCCAGCGGATATTATCGAACTCAGATCCGTCAAAAACATAGCCTGGGGAACACTCATTAGCGTCATGATAGGTGTTTCTTTTTTTATGATAGCTAGTGATGGAATTAACAAGTCGTTTGTCTGATGGTGAGCGACAGAGCTTTAAATCGCAAAGATCTGAGGGGTAAGTCACCCTGAGACATAAGTTGATAAGTTCCATGTGCCTGTAATTTCACCAGCACCCTTAACCTTCAAACCGGGACGTAGCTCACATTACAACTTGGCGGAAATAGCTAAGGCAGTACTACCCTGGACGAACTCTCTCACAAGGAGCTCTACTGCTACTAGTCTTGTTCTATAAACGGCGTCGTACTATTCAAGTATCTCTTGCATACTCTCTCTCTCTCTCTTTCTTTCTGATGTGCGCCTTCTGTTGGACCTAATTGTAAGGTCCCACAATTTGATCTATTATACATATCCCTTGTCTACGCTCGTTTCAATTTCCTTCAACCTTTCATTTTATCCCAAAATGGTTCAATATGCTCGCTCCCTATTTTATAGTCGTCACCATGTTCCCTAATTTATATAACTCATCGAAAATTAAATTGGGTCTCCGCGGCACCTAAGCGCGCGGTACCTAAGATGCTAGCAGCGTTCCCTTTTGTATTGCTATGCTAATGCGTTGGGCAAGGAGTTGCCAGCTCTTGGGTTTCTCAGACAGTCTATTAATTTTATGGACAAAATTTGGTACAGATGAAGAGCACTGAGACCCAACGGGCCAAGGATTTTGACTCCAAAAAATGTAAATAGGTAGTCGGAGCCGAGGTCCTGGTACTGGCGGAAAAATTAAAAAAGTAATATTTAATTTTTCTACCAGGTCAGCTGCGGAGCCAGCCCTCTTGCTGATGTGCTGGAGACGGGATGGGGCAAGTGTGTCGGCATACGTGGCATCCTACACCAGTGCGCGGACTATACCCCAAGGGATGAGAGTCATTACGTCCGTGCGTTTGCCATCAGTGCGCCATTTTGTTATATGACTTTTTATATAACGTAATAAATTTGCCAAAAATGATTAAAAGTCATGGAACAAAAGTTGTTGTTTGTGATGTTAGTGATGCCATATTATTATTTTATAAATAATCCTATATACATATATGATATCAGTACATTGTGCTCATCGAACCACACTTATCCACAATGAGACAGATTATTCCACATAATAAAACTATTTCTGGTCGACTCAAGCCCATTTCGCCTGACGTGGCATGAATGACGCGTTTCTTTATGATTATCAAAGTTAGATGACTGATAGATCATTTTGTAAGAGGAGTTTGTTCACCCCTTGTTGTTAAGGCAAACGAAGAGAAGAACGCCCGGCGGCAAGATGGACGGATGGATGGTGATGCCACACGGGAGTTGCCGGCGCATTGGGTTGTCGCAACACTATTATTTAAACGGACTGAGTGCCACACGAGCTGTTCCATCGACGTACGCTGTGTGGCAAGTGATTCTGATTTATGTGTAGTACATCGCAGTTGCGACGACACAGCGCCAACTTAACGCCCGTGTGGCATCTTCCTAAGAAAGATGGCCGGCAGTGGCTGGACGCGTGCGGCACAGGGGTCTGCTTCCGGTTTCGCTCCGACATCCGTCCGAAACAATTACCTACTATCAAATAAGTAATACTCGGTCAAATCAAAAAACAATTTCAAATTTGAAGATTCATTTGCATCATGCGTCTTTTAATTTACCTATTACTTCTTTGACAGTAATGTTTAGGAAGACCCCTTTGACCGGGAGAGTTGGTGTGCTCGGGGGGAGCCTTATGTCCAGCAGTAAATGCGTGTTAAGCTGATTAGATTATTTTGTCTTGTTCTTACTATTGGGCACACATTTCCAAATAGCCTTTTTGGCTCCGTTATTGATACACTCATTGTTGCGAACGCTACCTCGCCACCATCTGAAACGGCAAAATTTTTGTAAAAAGAGGCTTAACCACCTACAAAGAAAGTTTAATATGCATCATCGTTGTTTCGTGCGCTTGCAAGTAGTTTTAGTGGTCGCTAATTTACAATAGGAGGCACTTGAAAAGGAATGTTTAAATCTGCACTTTCTTATCTTCGTTAGATAAGTAATACGTTAAGCTCGCGTCTTAACGTATACTTAATGGTTACCTATCATAAGCTAGAAACATGATTTACAGAATTTTGTTTCTCCGAAAACTTTTAGACGTTTATTGAATACATTTTGTTTCATTTGTCCGAAAACCCGTTACGGTTGTTTTCCTTACAACATTTAATGTTTCACTATTTTGACATATTATAAAGTTATTCGTTTCCCGATTCTTCTTTTCTTTACATACTGTTTGACCAATGTATCTAATTGAGTATTTTGCTTTTGTAAAAAAAAAAACGATAGCCATGATACATTTTTTATATTATTTCTTATTACCGATATTAGATCTTTTAGAAAGAGTCGCACATTACCACTCGTCAAATTAACATAGTACGTCGCGCCTTTACAAAATATATATAGTACACGAGGTGCACTTTAATTGGATCGAGTTATAGTAGCTCGCTTCTCTCGCTCGGCTCTTGCTGCTTTTCCATAGACTAATCCAACCTAAACCTATAGAAGGGGGTCGTACCAGTTAGAACATGCAAAACAAATTAGGTTCTGGCACAACATAGCTCAATGGTTCGACGAAAATGACGTAACTTTTTAATGACGGGACTTGCAGTAGACCAGCAAAGTACAGTCCAGATTTTTGGAGCTGTATGTTAAATTGTATGCCACATGGTGACGTCACTGCGGTGCTTCTACACTAGGGCGCACTATAACTTTCCGGAACTGGCCACTTACATAAACAATATTTAAAAAGTCATTACAACATTTGAAAATGGAACTCTTTGGCTGTAGAATACAGTTTGTTTCATCTGACTGTCACTTGTTTTTACATCGTGGCGTCATTTTAGAAATTGGTTGTCTACACCGCCATGGATTTAACTCGTGAAAATTTTCGTAGTATGATTAACTACGACTTTAAGTGTAATTTAACAGCTCAGCGGAGCTTCGATCGTCTACAAACTGCTTTTGGCGACGAAGCACCATCCAAGGCAACTATTTATAGCTGGTTTGCAGAATTCAAACGCGGTCGTGTGAATCTCAGTGACTAGTTTCGTTTACGATGGTCGCCCGTCCACTGTTGTGAACAACAAAAACATCGATGCTGTGCGCCGTATGATCAAAACAGAGAGGCATGTGCCATACCATGAGATTCGGGCATCTTTAGGCATAGGCATGAGTAAAATACAATCAATACTACACAAACATTTGGGTATGAAAAAGCTGTGCTCGGTGGATCCCACACAATTTGACTGATGCTCAAAAAACGGATCGCGTCACTTGGTGCAATATCGCGCTTACCAGATTCAACGAAAGGGCGTCAAATTTGGTGTGGGACATAGTAACAGGTGACGAAACATGGATTTATAGTTACGATCCCAAAACAAAGCAGCAATCGAGCGTATATGGATCTTTCGAGATGAGCCGAAACCAACTAAAGTGGCGCGCGAGCAAAGTGCCTCTAAGCGGATGATTGCTTCTTTTTTTTCATAAAACTGGACGCGTGGCTACTGTTGCTTTGGAGAATCGTTGTACCGTGAATAGTGATTGGTACACGACCATTTGTTTGCCGGAAGTTATTGACAAACTCTGTAAAAATAACCGTAAACGCCGTATCGTCTTGCGCCACGATAATGCCAGTTCTCACATGGCCAGACAGACAAATGAATTTTTGAAGGTGAACAAAGTTGACCTTATGAGCCATCCCGCGTACAGTTCCGACTTGGCACCTTGTGACTTTTATTTATTTCCAAAAATTAAGAACCAGTTACGCAGTCAACGATTTTCATCACTTGAAGAGGCTGTTGAAGAGTATGAAAAATATGTTTTAGAGATTGTCACGGAGGAGTGGCATAAATGTTTTCAAAATTGGTTCATTCGTATGAAAGTGCATTAACGCTAATGAAGAATATTTTGAGAAACAATAAATTCATTTCTGACCATTTATAGTATATTTTTCATACTCATTCCGGAAACTTATAGTGCGCTCCACGTATAAAGCATTGAATTTGAAGGCCCTAAGGGTTGGGAATTTTGTTCGATAAGCAGATGTCATCGCGATGGTTTTCTTCGCCGTACGCAGGATAGAAAGGCAACTAAGGCTCAATATAGGTTAGGAACACATAAATGCGATCCACATTCAGGTTTCTCATGATATTCGAAAAAACTCAATAAAATATGTAGCGGACTGTATCGATGGGTGAAGGGATAGGTGCTAACAACGAGTGAGCAAGGCCAAGAGAAGTACTTACAGTTTAATAAGTTATTAGAAAAACACCACAGCAAAACAGCAAAAACACTAGCTAAAGTCAAGAAAAAGGCGCCAAAAATAAACACATGTAAATTTAGAATTTAAATATAAAACTAAAACTTAAAGAGACCATTATAAAACTTAGAAAAGAGATTTGTAGCGACTGTTACGATTCGCTACAAAGCATATGAAAATTTAAGGACGCGTATACTATCCGGTATTAGGAACTATACTTAAACAAATTTGCAAAATTAAACTCACTTATGCGTTCCAGATACGACATAAAAGTGCAAAGCATTTTCAATGCACGCCGCCGATGTGAGAACGTATCTTTCGTGTATGATTACTCCGCCACATAGCCAATGCTCTTCGTCAATGTCACTGCGAGAATTCTTCAACGGTGCCGCTCTTAGGTACACCTGTATACAGGAACTTTGGAGTTTTAGTTCTGCTTCGTTAGAGCGTCCGATGATCAGAAGGCTGGCATATACTTTCATCAAAGAATAAATTTAAATATTCAAAGGATGAACTTTTTTTTATAATGCCAAGTGAAGAGACGAACAATGCGTGCGCCTGGTGTAAACGACACGTGTATCCATAACAGTTGCTATGTTACTCAGAGTTTTAAATCGCTAAGATCTTAGGGGCACTGCCACTGCGCCCGTCACCCTGAGACATAAGTTAACAAGTCCCATATGCGCTGTAATTTCACCAACACCCTTCTAAACAGGAGCGCAGTAATGCTCACATTACTACTTGGCGGTAGAAATAGGTAAGGTGGCAACTCAGAAACAAACACTCGCAGAATCCTTTTATAATAAACGTATTTAGTATATTATTTTCTTTATTTAGACAAGGTAGTGGCGGCAGTGACCGACAAGGACCAGTTTTTAAAAAAATTCATTTCTAATAACTGCCCCTGTGGACAAACGGTTGCCACGCCGGATTGCCATCCAGTGGTCCCAGGTTCGATTCCCGAACCTTTATTTATCTCTTGAGTTTGGGTGTAATTTGGGGTTGCCTATGTGTACCATGCATGGCACCCGCGACCTAGGGTGTCGCGAAAAAGATTAAGAAAAAAATTTTCTGTCATATTAACATGTGCAGCAGTAGAGCTCCTTGTAAAAGAGTTCGTCCAGGGAAGGACAGCCACACTTCTGATGGCAAGCAGTAATGTTAGCATTACTGTGTCCCGGTTTTGAAGAGAGCTGGTGAAATTACAGGCACATGGGACAAATAACTCAGGGTGACGGGCGCAGTGACAATGCCCATCAGATCTTTGCGACTTATAGCTCTGAGTGGCACTGCAACTGTTATGGACAGACGTGTAGCTTACCATCAGGCGCACGACTTGTTCGTCCCGTCTCTTGATGTTATAAAAAAAATTCTTATTGGTAAGGTCCAGAAATAGACCTTTAGACATTATTTGTACATTATTGGTGATTGTCGAATACTGGGGGTGTACCATAGCCTTTCCAAAAACAATCTTATTTCAATGTAAGCATAAAGTAAGCTTATTGTAATATTACTCATTTTCGTACCGTGACCAAATAAAAGTGACTGAAAGAACGAATGATTTCCCAATATTGTCTATTCCTTACTAAAAGTAGGAAAGAAATAACGCTATATGAACTGTATAATGCCATCTCTTTCTTTTTTTTATGTTTCGAATCGTGTTATCTAGTATAATGTTAAAGTACTTAAGAAAAGTATGTAATAATGAAATTTATTAAAATTACGTTGTTTTCAATTATTATTACGCATTTTCATGAAGAAAAATAAATAAAACAAGCTGAGTCTTGATAACGTTGTCAATTCGGAATCATAGTCTAGTGTCAACTGTTAGTTTCGCCAAGGAGCATATAGATGGCGCTGTCATAATTTTACAAAATAAACATCGCGTATTTTCATTTTACGAGAAATTCTTTCCTATGAGCTATTAAATAAACAAAATATTGAAGAAATATATGTAAATAAATAAACTCAACTTAACTTTTAATCATTATAAATCAATATTAAGACAATAAAGTTGAAAATAATATTGTTTCCATTCATCCGTGTAACTATTTTAAGATTGCTAAATTTGACATACGAGCAATATTACTTTAATGTCAAAGTCGCGTCATAATACGAACTGAGTGAATGAATAGTCACAAAGCTGCTAATAAAACATCATAGTTTTAACATTACAAATAAGCTTACTTTAAGCGCATTATGATGGTATGAAAAGTCAATGTAAGGTTAAAGTAATATTGTTTTAAGAGGTTGTGGTAATCCCCCTGGTTAGTTAGTTAATTAGTGGATTTTTGGTGTTACTGGCGATTTAGAGAAATTCTAGTTTAGGCTTTTTTTAGTAATAATTTAATAGCTTTTTTATGAAACATACTACAGCACAATCTTCCTAGAAAAGTTCTAAATCCATAAATAAATAACGCACACACTCAACATAGCCCCGCACTAGGGAAACCCTGTGTCGCGGGTGCCATGGACACACACATAGACAACCACAAATTACACCCAAACTCACGAGAGAAATAAATGTAAGCCATACAAACATTTCTCCCGGCCCGGGAATCGAACCTGGCATCTCTGCGTGGCAGTCCGGCAAGGTAACCGTTCGGCCACGGAGGCAGTTATAACTGTCAAGTAAACTAATTGACGTGTTTAAAAACTAATGAGAAAAGTTCCTCAGAGCACTCCCCATTATAAAGACGGCAGAACACACACAGACAGCCATGTCTCTCCGTAGGCTAAGAGTTAACACCGTAGAGCGGTCTAATTAAATATTTTTGTTTTTTGTATGAAAGTTAAAGCCCCACGTTGGGCGCCAGTGTAGTAAAGTACGGGTGACAGAGGTAAACTAAATTTGATATTCAAGATAAGCGTTTGTTTGCTAGCTTGATGGGTGTACAACTAACGAAAGGGGCTCCTCCCCCTTGACGACATGTAACGGAAGTCCTATGCATTCCAAGTAAGACGCTGACATGGGTACAACGGTTAGTTTTAGCGATAGGTAACTATCTATGAACGATCTAAAGCGCTGTTTCAGATAAGGAAGCAGTACTAGATGCGGACAAGGTACGTAGTAGGCTTATCCTAAGGCGCGGCGCCTACTGGCGGAACTAGACAGCAAGGGATTTTTAGGTGACGAATAGTAATATAACTTAAAATTATGACATTACAAGACAAGAGTTGCAATTTCAGTGATAATGATCGTAGCTGCAAAATAAAGCTGCGGTATGTTTAGGGATGCCGAGCCGGCAGCCTCCGGATTGCCTAGGCAACCTCCAGGACACCGAGTTGACTACGGGTAGGCGGGGCGAGGGGTGACAGAGTATGTGCTTTGGCATGCCTAAGGATGCCGCGACTTAATTGTCGTCATTGTGCGCTTGCATGTAGGTCACTACACAGTTTTGTAGAAAGGGCGAAAGAGCCATTTAGAAAAATTTTTCAGGGGTGAGTGTCCTTTTTTAAAATTGGTGCGACCAGGTGGCTGAAAGCTTAGCAGTACCAGTGAACTTCGCATTCCACCTAGCCAAAGACAGAGTGTAACAAGTCTGCAGGCAGGGAATTGGAGTGCTCCTTTACCGCTCGTCATATAAAATGTAGTAGCGCAACGCTTCGTTCGAATCTTTGGAATATCCACAACATAGGCGTGGAACCTCAGCTTGAGTCTAGTACCACGATGATGAATGAGGAATGGGTAAGGCGGAATAAAATCATGCAATTCCATCGCATACTATTCGTGATACATTCTGAAGAATACAGATAAGCAGATAACTTTACAACGGTGTTCAAGGCTATGCAGCTTCGCCTCTACTAAATCCGTGTGGTGACACGGAGCCTCTTGACACGCTAGTCGATTGGATCTAAAGTGGCCAGTTGGTATGTAGCAGAGCCATACCATAGGTGGCAGCAGTAATCCATACATGACCGAACTTGTGCTTGGTACAGTTGTAGCAACTGTCCCGGTGTGAAGCCTCAATATGGAGAGGATGCCAAGCTCATGACTGCATTTTTGGCCATGGATTCTATGTAACTGCCGAAGTTTAAATTGGACGACAAGTCCATTCCAAGTAGGTGGCGGTAATCGGTTATCGGTATGGATATATCACAAAAAGTCGGAGTCAGGTCAAAGTGACTACGTTTTGTGGTGAATAGACACGCCTGCGTTTTGGTAGCGTTAAATTTGACAAGATTGGTATCATCCTAATTGGAGACTGCCTTAAGTGTCAAATTCAAACGACTAACCATGGAAACTCGACAAGACTGGATTTCTTCTCTATTGACCCTTGCATTGGTCAGATATCTGTCTACAATTACCTGGAATTACATATCGTTGATATGCAACGGAAAGACCAATGGCGGACAGTACGTAACCTTGATGGACTCTAGGGGAGGGATTTGTGGCCCGATGTTCCGAAGAGACTTGTCGAATCGAACGTTCCCTTAAGAAATCCGAGATCCATTTGCAAAGGTCAAGGACTAAGGGTTAAATTCAGAAGAAATACGCCGACGTCTTCCTAAGTATCAAATTATTTCTATTAGCATCTACCCGTCTACCACACAACGCGATTATGAAAAGAAGAAAGAAAAGAAGGAAACATTAATTCAGCATATTGACACATACAGAAGAAATAAGTGATTAAAATTACTAGCTGAAACGGATCCAACTCAAAATTTATCAGAGCTCGACTGCTGTAACGCAGGTTTTCAATTGGAGCCGCTTTTATAGGATAAGATGGCATGAAAATCTGATGTTATAATATTGGAATTACATAACTTAAAACTTAAGTAAAAATAAGTAGGCAAATGACAACTGCTTCGTTTCCGTATAGATACAGGTTCCGAAATTAGAAATCTAAACTCAATTAATAGCACCAATTGAAAGGTAACAACCTAGTAACGAAAGTAATTTTAAAACTTACCATATAAGGTCTAGTATCACCAACAATGCTACCAGATATGATTCTCCTAGTAAGCCGCCCAGTCAAATTTAGACTTAATTGTTTTGGTTTCCCAGTAGTGAGCACATTGTTGGAGAAATTTCTTACACTATTATGAGTCATGGTTATGTCTGCTGTAGTGCCAGCTATGGTATCTGACACACCAACGGGTTCTGCAAGAGGTGTTTTCATACTGTTTCTTTAAGATTATTCTTAAGTCAACAATAATTTTTAAAATAACTACGTGTTTTGACTTATTGAAGATCTCCCTCTCCATTATTATATCTACATACTGTATTATTATAAATACCTCTTAGGTATTTTTGTCCGTACTAATTGCCTTTTGTTTTTATAGTAATAATATTATGCGAATGATTTTTTTCAACTCATGCTTGCAGGTTACTTTTAACTTTCGCATAAATTTTCTCCCTTAAAGTACTATATTATTTGGCTTGTAAACGCTAGGGATTTTTTAATCTTTCCTTAGCTTCTTGAAAACTAATTCAGATTAAATAATGTACGTATATGTACACTCCAGTTATGTTTCCTTGAAGGGAGCAATATTTTGAAGCAAATTTGAATATTATAGTCGTATTGAAAGTTAAATAAGTACATCTGTAAAAAAGTCAGATAGTTTTCTCTGTGTTAAAGACTCACCCGATTGTATAATGCCAAAAGCGTTACTAATTAAAATAATATTCAAAATCATCTCTTTTTTTAATTTAAATCGAATCAATTTCTGTTCTAAGACAATGAAATAAATATAAGAATGTAAATAGTCAAATACATAATTTCACGGTTGAAAGGATTATGATGATTAGTTTCTTTCGTAAAGTTGATATCGTTGGGAATTACGTGAATTTTAACTTTTTACTGCCACTTTCCGAGTTAGGTTTTAATATTCCGAGTTTTTATTGCGTCTCCGAGTTTGTGGTGCGTTTTAGGACATTGTTTTTAAACGTCAATGTGTATTGAACTAGTGTGAAAAGGACGGATTGTCTAAAGGTGGCCCTGGCATGTGTATGAAATGTTGTCAAAAACTGAATTCGACTGTAGAAGGGTTTATTTTTCTTTCAAAACTATTTATACATGTAGAGTCGCGCTTCACTTTCATATCAAGGATAGGGTATGTTGATAAAATGAACAAGAAATATATAGTATATAGAAATATAATATATAGGGTACCTTATGGTATATTCCATAAGTAAAACGTTAAAAATAATAATGTATAAACGTTATTTATACATTTATATGTTAGGCACAGGTTGGTTCGATGCAGTATTGGAGTAAAGTTAACTTAATTCCGTGCATATTGCCAAAGCTTTTATACTAGCGGCCCGTGGGTTAATTTTACAACACAATAATGCTTTTAGGGAACTGTTGAGGCTCCCACGATGTTGCAGCACTTCACGAACGAAGACGGTTTTTATGCCATACTACGCAAAAAGACTGCATCGATAATACGTCATATACAGGGGAGCGCTAACGGTATCCTAAAGATGATTCCCAACCGCACAGACACGGTAATTTTCAAGCGATATATCGAGCTACACATTCGAAAAAGTGTACATCGAAAGATCGGATTTGTCAAAAGTCTTTGACATGGTCAAGTATGAAATACTCTGGAATAAGCTGAGAGATACTTAAATGCCGTCGGAGTGCATTTCATTGTTTCGGTTTTGGTATCAAAATCAAGTGAACCGGGTGAGATGGGTCGACGTTCTGGCAGATGACTATAAGCTCGAGTGCGGTGTGAAACAGGGTGGGCTGACATCGCCAGGACTTTTTAACTTCTCTTTAATCGACTGGTTGAGGAACTTAGTAGCATGCATGTTGGATGCCATAAGCTATGCTGGTGACATGGTGCTGCTGGGTCCTTCTATTGGTTCGATTGTAAAGTTGGCGGACACATGTGAATGGTATGCAGCAGCGTACAACTCTAAAAAGAGTGAGTTGTTAATTTTCAAATCGAAAAAATATAACCCGATAAATGTGCCTCCGGTTGTGTTGGTTAAAATAAATAAATAACGCACACACTCAACATAGCCCCGCACTAGGGAAACGCTGTGTCGCGGGTGCCATGGACACACACATAGACAACCACAAATTCCACCCAAACTCACGAGAGATATAATTGTAGGCCATACAACTATTTCTCTCGGCCCGGGAATCGAACCTGGGACCTCTGCGTGGCAGTCCGGCATGGTAACCGTTCGGCCACGGAGGCAGTTAAGTTAGTAGTAAGGTTGGTACTGCGTTGCGAGTAGTTGATAGGTTTAGATACCTTGGTCACATGATCACAGGTGATCTAAAGGATGATCTGGACGTGGAAAGAGAGCGTAAGGCGTTGACAGTGAGGAGTATATGCTGACTCGCAGATTTGCTCGATGCACAGAAAGTGTAAAAATAACACTATTTAAGGATTGTGGCACGTCATTTTACTCCAGCAGTCTGTGGTGTCAGTGTACCAAACGAGCTTACAACGTCCTGCGTATACAGTATAACAATGCGTTCAGGATGCTGTTGCGGCTACCACGCCACTGCTGCGGCTTGCCCGCTATAATGCGAAAGAAGGCCGCTTCTTTCTTCACCGTGTGCGTTGTAGCCGGAGCAACATACTGATAACACCCGTGAACCGGTTCGATAGTCCCTTGCTATGGCGTCTAATACAAAGAGTCAAAGGTGTAATTTAAATTAAGTAATTGCATATTATGTGATGTAATTTGAAATGTAATGTAATTTAAATAAGTACCTACCAACATAGTTGCTAAGTCTTACTAACAAATTATGGAAAGTTTTTCTGAAAAAAGTATTATTATTATTGTTTTGCATTTTATCTTTTTATTTTATCTTTGGTACTACTTACTAACAGGTATTAAGTTGTGAAACTAACCAGCTATGAACTGAATAAAATATTTTATTCTAATTTTGATAATATACAGGTAAGGTAAAAAAGACAGTAAAAGCTTAAATACTAGAAAATAAAGTAGGATTTTTAAATAATATGAATAAAATTGGGTCCCCGCGGCAAGGTGCCAAAGATACTGGCAGCGTTCCCCCTTTGTATTGCTATGCTAATGCGTTGGGCAAGGAAGCTGCCGGCACTAAGCTTCCCCAGACAGTTTATTAATTTTTTAGATAAAATTTTGTACAGATGAAGGTCATTCGGATCCCACGGGCCAAGGATTTCGACTCCAAAGGCTGTAAATAGGTAGTCGGAGCCGAGATCCTGGTACTTATTACTTTTAGTAATGGACTTAATTATTTGAAAATAAATAATTTTTATTTTATTTATTTTTATAAATTTACTTATTCCGCTGGCTTAGCGACCCGGAGTGGATCTTGCCCTCCTATAAAAGTTGACGCCAGCGCGCCCTGTCTTGTGCGATCTCTTCCCAGTTCTCAGTTCTATACGGGCAGGGCGCGGATGTATTTTTTAAAACTACATACGCAAAAAATTGGACAAGAAAAATATCCATTTCTGCGTATCAATTTAGACCTTCCGGTCCAAGATTTGAAGTTTTTGAAAAATTGAATTTCACGTAGATGTTTGACATTTATTTTCTTGATTTTAGTCTGCCGATCCTAGAACGAATTATAGTATTCCTGTCCTGACACAATTCGTTTGTGTCAAATTCAGAAATACTCGGTCCATCGATTTTTGGCCATATTGCAACAAAACTAAGTTTTAGTATCACAGTACTGTTGCCCTTACCTTGGAAATAAAATTTCACCTTACAGTGAGAGTCAGTATGGCGAGTGTACCTTAACGGATCCTGACAAATTTGGTATCAAAAAATGTACCTAAATTGTACTATTTTAGTACCTCTGTTTAAAAAATTTGTACCTCCATCAGAACGAAGTTATAGCACTATCAAAGGTACACCCGCCGTATTGACAGTCAATATGGCGGGTGTACCTTAGATTATCAGTTTCTATTTAACTATAAAGACTTATTATTCCAAAAATGTGTACCTTAATAAAGTAAGAGAAATTCCAGCTTGATCTGCTGGTTAGTTTCTGATATAAAGCTAAAATTGTGCGATTTTAGAGTTCATGTGCATCTTAACGAATCCTAACAAATTTAGTACCAAAAAAATGTAGTAAGTGTAGGACCATTTTGGAGCTCTACTTATAAAAACTTATTTTGCATGTAATGCATATGGATATTCCTTTTTCTGTATGTTAGCTGGTTATAGTCCCCCTTCTCAGACGGAGCTTTCACCCTGTTTGTATGGTATAAAATGAAATATTCTAATGAGAATTCGTCGGACCAGACACGCTCAACCATTTTCCGCAGGCAAAGACGTTTTCGCTACTCGTGTCTAGATGTCGCTATTCTGTTGGTACACCGCGAATTAATCCTTTTCGGTTTCAAAAGTTCATTGTAATACTGAAACTAGATAAAAGATGGCGCTGTAAGGCCTATACAAATTTAGAATTTATTTTAGAGTGAACATTGTTAATAAGCACAATTATTGATAAATTTTAATAAAGAGGGTGTTAGGTACTTCTCTATATAATTGTGTCAACTACTTATAATCATTTCTATTATTTAATGCTAACCAGTAATTCATTATAATCATATCTGCAGTGTGCGTTGTAGTTTAACAAGTATTTACAAAACAGATAACAAAATTCTACATTATACTTATACTAACATGTTAGCTAAACGTCCTTGTGAAAGAGTTCGTCCAGGGAACCTTACATATTTCTGCCGCCAAGCAGTAACGTGAGCATTACTGCCTGCGTTCCCGTTTTGAAAGGTAAGAGTGCTGGTGAAATTACAAGCACATGAGACTTGTCAATTTATTATGTCTCTGGGTGACGTGTGCAGAGGCAATGTCCCTCTGATCTTAGCTCTGAGTAGTACTGCAACTGCTATGGACAGGCGTGTCGCTGACCACCAGGTGATCCACTTGTTCGTTCATTCGCTTAGTATCAAAAAAGCCGCAATATATTGTAATTATAAATTTTAAAGTAAGTAATTCAATTATTAGATTGGAAGTGTCATGACAGAAACAGACGAGAAAAGTAAATCTTAGCGGAAATGGAAACGATTGCGGATGTAGAAGCGGAAGTGTACCTAAGTTCCATACAGATCTTGTTTTTATTTCATAATTGCACTTCTTAATACAACACACAAAAACCTTCACGCGTCTCATCCAC